GCCTCAATTCAACCGTGAAATTCAGGTATATCAACCTTGAATCCGGATTCCCATTGCTGAAACACGTCCTACTGTTGAACACGAGGCTGTTGAACACGATCGCCACGTGCCTCTGACAAGGTCTCCTCATCCGACCTCTCCCCTGATTCAGATCTACCTCCACCATCACTCACTGGGGCACGACATAGAGGAGCAGGAGGTGTTCCGTTCTGCACAACCTCTGCCGCCCACGTCATGAATTGATCAAATCATATTGTCAGCGCCTCAACTTGATTACGAAGATCTGCAACTTCATCAATCTGGCCACCACGACCACCACGTCCTCTCCCACGTACCATGCTCTGATACCAAAATGATGTAGATTGAATCTACAAACACACGATAACAATAACCAAACGGATTGAATTCAGAAACAAACTTTTATTATTTCGTGAACAACCAACAAAACCCTAGGAGGCGTCTTGCAATGTCTTAAATATGAAAGAAAAGATAACATATTGGGCCAGTAGTCCCAAAATGGGCTGGGCTACAAAATGGAAATAACAAATGCTGAAAATAAATAACACAAAAACTTAAAATGCTGTTTTGACACACTAAACAACTTCAAATGCACCGAGATGAGATGTCTCAACAAGGTTGGCCCTTTCTTAGTGCCCTCATTGTCTATTGCTATCTAAACTTTTCATTCAATAAAGCTAATAATTACAGGAGGCTCTAACCAATAACTGGCGTTACATTAGGGAAATCAATAAACTTCCTAGCAATTATATTTACAAAGAAAATAGAAAGACATCCTAACTAACCATTTTTTTTGAAAGCTCACCACTAGAATGTTCATCACCTAGCTCCTTAGAGGCTCAAAATCTAACATTGTGACTGGTAGAAAGTCCTTAGCTTGCACGTTGGCTACATAACACTTCTTGATTCAAGTTGACCATCCTTCACACATCTAATCCCTCAACTAGCTAGAAATTTCATTACATGGTGGTACGTCAAAGGAATGGCATTGGTAACGTTTAATAGTAACTGACCATAGATTGCATACCATCGGGATTTTTGACAACCAAAAAGTCGTCAAGATCACCATACTCATTGGGTAAGTACCTAGCATAATCGAAAGCTCTTTAGTTTATTCTGGTATTGTAGATGCCCTCCAAAACGTTGTAGAGGGATGGTCATGGTTTTCAATAGTTCAGGAGAGATTTTCAAGCCTAAAAATGCCTCATATGTAAGAACATTCGTTACACTACATTTGTCGACTGGTACCCTCTAGACATCGAAATCTGTCTTGTCACCAACGACCATCAAAGCATTGTCATGGAGGCTTTCTAATTGCCAACAAAGCATACATAGCTCTTTCTAGTTGAATTTTAGTCCCTGCTTGCCGTTATTCCATCGATGATCATATTTATTACCCCAACCTAGGTAAGGGATTATCATTAACGTTTTTTCTTACCTAGATCATTGTTTACATACTTAATTACCCCGTCTCAGAAGTTCTCGATCTCTTCTTTCAGGTGGATGTAATTTTCAATGTCATGTCCTTGGTCTTTATGGAAATGATAGCTCTTGCCTTTATCCTTCTTGCTAGTAGATACGACCACTAGTTTGGCTAATCAAGCTCTTTCATGTCTCATATCTCCATTAGTAACTTTGTATACAAGGTACTCAAAGGAGTGAAGGCCTTAACTTCATCTCACATTTGCTTAGTTGTCCACTTTGTCACATATCTCTTACTCATGTGCTCTTAGCATATTTTCTATCAATGGCTTTCACTCATCATGTAACTTTTGCTTATGAGTTTCTGGTTCCCACCTTTCTGGAAAGATTTTCGTGACCATTTCCCTTCTTCAACAAGTCATGCATCAAATTTTGAAAGGTTTTTAAAACAACATCTTAAATGCTCGATTTCACTTTCCATTTATCAATGTAGTAACCATGATACATATTTGAAGATCCTTTATGACAAGTGTAGCTAAATCGGGCAAGAAATCTTGTAAAGGCTTATCTTTAACATGGACAACTTGCATAAATATAATAAATGTCTTCATATTTCTCTTACTACTTAAGAAATAGGCTACAAAGTTCTTGGAGAGCTTATCAAAAGTTTTAATAGACCGGAAGCCAAAGTTGCTATGCAATCTATAGCCTCTCTCATTAGTTTTGGTGGAAAGGATTGACATATCATTATATCTGAAGTTGCATATAATCTCATTTAATCAACAAAAGTTCATAGGTGGTCAAGTGGTTCTATGACTCCATCACATGACTCCATCATAAACTATTTGAAGACTTTGGGTTGAGGGATTGCCATGATTTCTAGTGCGAAGGGGTCTTCTTCCAAAACCATTTGTCATCGTCTATCATTTTCCTTGGACAATGCATCGTCTATCTTCTGGGACATCATTTCCTCTATATTACATTTTAAGTCTATCGTAGGATGTGGAGCCTATAAGTCCATGACTTTGTGATCCCCCATGTTTGTTACTGTTGGTTGAATGATCGACAATCGTTTGAGCCTCTAGTAGTGATTTTCCGTGCACATCTTGTGGTTGAACTTCTAGTGGATTAGAGGATGGACTGACCATCATCTACGCTTGATTTCGCAAAAGAGTTATCATGGCTACTGAGCGTGTAGAATGGTAAATTGGCTTTGAGTTACATACTAAGTTTGTGGTGGGTCTTGAACCCGAGTAATAGATTTCAATTCTGCGCTATTTTCGACCATGTGTGTATCACTCCTATTTCGCCTTTTCGAAAACTTTTATATTTAGTGTTTTTCCACAAATAGCACTAATGAAATAACATTGAAATGACCTTTGGACTTAGTGGAGTAAAGAGGCTTTTGTTATTTCGATAAGCAATTGAGTTACTGCAAAAAATGGCTAGGGCTTTCTTCCCCGTAGTAACTTTGGAGTGAAAATTAGTAATAGGGTTTGGACCGAAATAACTTAAGAAAATAGAGAGAAACTATGCTGAGAAAAACCAGAATCTCATACATGGGGATGCCTTTAGAATATTTATAAGTGTTTTATATCGTGTAACTGCTAGACGATTATTGTCTACGTGTCTAATGTAGCATGTCCATCCATCAGATGGTTTTTACCCACGACCTAAGTGGACAATTTCTACCTACTAAACTATTAAAAAGGATGTTCAGACATGTGAGAGTCATGATGATCAATCTATCATAGCGCTAGTCAGGCTAGCATAGGTGGTGGTCAACCATGGCAAAATTCATCTAGCATAGCGAAGTTGTATATCATAGTTTAAGCATCTAGCATAATAGAATTCAAGATAGCAGAGTGTAAGCCGTCTAGCATAGTAGTGGTCGAGCTAGCAAAGTGAAAGTCTTCTAAGTTAATTACCTTTATTTGGTTTGCCATAGTAATAAATTATTTATATCACACAGCATCAAGGGTTAAGGAATCTAAATTTTTAGGTAGGTAATATAATTAAGGTTTCTAACTTTAAATTTTTCTTAAAAATAACCTACTAATCAAAAGAAAGAAAAACTTCGAAAACAAATGCCAACAACTTAGACGATGAGCAGGTAGTAACAACAATTTTTTGAATGATTTTAGGGTACTTTCGAAATTCAAAGAAATATCTTGGACTGAAGTCACTTAGAACTATCATTCAACAAAAATATTTGTTTAAATAAAAATAAGGTAAAGTTTTTGATAAAAGTTGATAAAATGTGCGGTTGAAAATTTGATATAAGTTGTGGATCTCAATAGATTTATAATTGAAAATAAGTTTGAGGAAAGAATGTGTCGGAATTCAGATTCAAAAGCACCACCATACACGAATATGGGATGCCAAAGATGTAAGACTAGATCGATGGTCCATAAGTAGCAACATAATTTCTACTTAATATATATAAACTATTAGGTGTTTAGTACTTACCCTTTATGCGTATTTTAATCTTCATGCAATCAGTATCGTATCTCCAAGACTTCTTTGATGTTTTTCAAGAACTCCAATAAAACTACACATTTTTCTAGCGTGTGGGCACTAGTTAATTAAATAAAATTCAGACGTAATATATATGAAACATCTTAATATATATAGAGACTATGTGATAAAAGAACATTAAATTAGAAAAGAAAACGTTCCTTCTAAAAGTTTCATAGTTTTCTTTTATTACAATTTTTACATTGTTTAAAAGATATGGAATTTATCTATATAATATGTATGTCCATAGACATTATAATAATTTTGATAATTGCAATATTATATTATCTGTCATTATTAATTCTAGATATTTAATTGTGTAATACTTGTTAATTATAACTCTTATAATTTGGTTCTTATTTTGAAGAAACCTATGAGACCTAATCTGACACAATTGATTTAAACTCCAACAAATTAATTCTTATACAAATCTGTTAGAATTATGATGTAACCTGAAGTCTATTTGAAATGTTATTTGGAATTCTACTTGAAGTCAATTTGACAAATTCTAGTTGAAATTCTATTTGAAAGATCAATTGGAGTTGAAATTTATGTTAAACTTGAAGAGGTCAAGATATTTTACCAGGAAAATTTCCGATGCTTTTATGCTAGCTGGCCTCTAGCCTATTGCTCGAGCGTCGTCGTCGAAATTCTGTGCAGAGAGCTAGCACCCTCTTTTTAATGAGATGGTTCATATTTAAATATAACACCACTATTTGGATATAAACTATTGATTGGACAAGAAGTTGTGACTCTTCAAAAATGACGTTGCAGGATTACTAAGAGAAATAACTGGAAAATTAGAAAAATATTTTCGCTTTTTGACTCATAATAGTAATACATTTGTGAAATATGTTGAGAAGTGCAGTCTCAAAAATTAGGGATCCATTATATTACGATGTGAGTTTGATGGACATCTTGCATCACTACTGGAGGGGGCAATTATTGTCTATTTGTCATAAAGAGAGCGTGGCATTTCAAGTGCTTTGGAGACAGAAAGTTTTCACAGAATATTTTGATAGATAACACATCGCACAGCTTCATTGGAGAAGGAAAAAAAAAAAATTGAATGCAGCACCTGTAAAAACCCTGTCAACCATTCCTAGTCCGCACGGAATTATCCGATAAAATTTATTGACTTTCAACATGTTCCCAATTTTTGTCTTTATATTTCCAGTTGCCAAAAACATTCAATAATAACATTTTTCCAAATTTATAGAGTAGATATCGCCTTGTGAAAGATTCTCTGGCCGGGAGCAAGAATTGCTAGTGGATCATAAGCTGATTTCCTTCGTACAAAGACTTCCCACTGTGGACCAAAGTGTTCCCTCCACGCTTCTTGTGTTGTATAATAAGGAAGATATTGCTTTACTCCTAATTGGGCAGTTTTACAGAAATCTAAAATTCTCTTGTTTAGACTTAATATGTAGTGTAAGCCATCATTTTGCATAGATGAGGGAATTGCATGGGGAAGGAATGCCACCATGTAGAAAATGTCTTCCTCTGGAAGTACAACTGAAGTTTTGTTGTTCCACCTGAAAAATGTTGTTAATAAAAATAAAATAAAATTGATCATTCAAGGCATTTTTGTAAGCAATATTGGACCGAATTGGACCGTATAATAGATATAAGATTTTAATTCTACGTTAATATTGCTTAGTGCAGTCTAATCCATTCAGTAAACATGCCAATTTTAGTTAATGTATTGTGATGAGTGTTACCTATATTTGTTCATTGGATAGACGAGGACTGGGCCGTTATTTGTGTCCTTTAGAATGTTTCCAAAAACAACTTCAGCAAATTTGTGAATTTTGCTTTTTGGTACGAGTAGATTAAGCCATGGGTGTGGAAGATCCCACAATCCTTTTGATCTTAGTTTTATCTCTGCCGAATGAACCCTGTCCAAAAATTCTATATATGGAACTTCTGACATGAAGAGTGTCGAAGTGATGTAGTTTAATTCGGATAATAATGCCTCAATCTCCTGCATGGAGAGGAAAGATTTGAATATTAGTATTCATCTAAATGGGAAAGTTGTTCTAATTTCATTTTTTAACAGTTAAGTTCAGGGATGAGGCAGTTCAATGTGTTATGCGAGAAGGCAAAGGTGCTCGTTTCATCTCTTGCTGCGATCCAATTTATGAAATTGTGTACGTGCCGACATTTCAACAATGCCCCTCACCTGGTCTATTTCATCAGCGTTCTCAGGATTGAAATTTTTTGTCAATTCCAGGCAGAAGAGAGTTCTTTGATCTGATATGAATCGACTGGCTTTAACTGGATCTTGGGGGTTGAAGGATGATCTCCAGTTATGAATAAGACCTGTCTTGTTAACGAGAACGAGGCCTTCTACGTAATCAAATGTGTTTTCCGCAGAAATTACAAGCTCTTGGTCTCTAGCAAAAGTGTCAAAATCTGAGTAAAGCACTCTGATCCATTTGACCTATAAAATTTTGGAATAAATCGAAGAAATTATACATCCACTATTCAGAATTCTTATAATCGATATTTGAAGAGTGTTTACCATCTTTGGTGCCGGCTCTAGGGAAATTTTAGCTCGAGTTATAATACCAAACTGGCCAAGTCCGCCAAGAACACCATGGAAAAGGTCAGCATTCTGTTCCTCTGAACAAATTACCACTTCTCCTTTTCCTGCACCCAATTCAGTTCACATTGGCGTAGATAATTCATAATTTTTTATTTTTATTTCTGAACTAGTAGAAAATTCATAATTATATAAGAACTTATAATTGGTGTTGCATTTTGGCGTTTCAGCTTCAAGTACTATCAAAATACTAGTATTTCTATGGTTTCCTCATTAGATGACTGATATTGAAGGTAATTTAAACAAATAAATTTAATTTTTTACAACAACCTAAGTTTTTGAACAAGTTGACGGTTCAACATGGAACAGTCATGAGTTCAAGTCTTATTGCCATGAGTTCTATATGTCAGTTTATGAAAATTTTCTTTCCCTTGATCATGTACTCAATAGTGTGGTCCATCACTATGTCATAATTAAGCTTTTTTCAGCACAAACCTGTGACAACCTCGAGTTGGTCGACGTTGCTGATTTGAGGACCATGTCGAAATGCCTGTCCACTGATCCCAGCATTCGACAAAGTACCACCAACTGTTAGATGAAGGTAATCTGTCCAAGATTTTGGCGCTAACCCGAATTTCAGGCATTCTTGCAGAATATCGATCCACAGCTCGCCAGCAGAGACATCCACATAAGGAAATTTTCCCGTGTGGACCCGCATACCTTGCCCATTCATCGACTTCATGTTGATTACAATTCCCTGTGGAGCTTGAGCTTGGCCTTTTATTGAGTGGCCAACGCCTCTGGCTGCAATAGTCAGCTCGGAACCCGGTCCCACTTGCCAAACATGCCTAATAGTAGTGGCTATATCAGATACTGATTTGGGATATAGAACTGCTGAAGGTAGGAAATGAAACTGGTTGCCAAAATCTTTAGCTGCAAATTCATTTTGGACGAAACTGAAACGCCCGTCGACTTGGAGTGTCTCAAGTGAAGATGGGGCAGTGGAGGAACAAGGCCTTGATTTTAAAACCATGCAGCTTATTGAAAAAATTGTAAAGCTTATGATAGAGAGAATGTTGTTTTGTTTCAAGATGGATGAATATCTCATGTTGAATCGAAGAAGTGAATAAGGGTTCTATTATATTTTGTTCTGTAAGTGATTGAAGAAGTTGAAGTATATATAGAGAGAGCCATCGCAGAAAAATTAAGGGAGGAATTTGAAGAGAAGTTGGGTTGAAGAGTCATTTTGTCTATTCTCTTACCAATTTGAAGTAAGAAGTGGTAAGAAAGAGAGATTTCATACAGATTTTCACCTCTGTAATAAGACAAAATCGTCTTGTCTGACGCTCCCTCGTCATTCACCATGTTAAATAAGGTTGTCCTTTTAATGTCCCATAATTGATTAGCATACCATATGGTTTTTAATCACAATAGTATGGTAATATATATCTACACGTCTCGTCACGTGGAACTCCAATTTTTAAAAGATTTTTAGAAGATTGTGTTCATTTGAAAAACGTTGTTGTTCAAAAGGAAAACCCTGCTCATGATAGCTTTAGTTGGAGCTAGTTTAGCGTGATTTTGGAGAAGTCAAAATGAACTTTTGAAACAAACCCAAAAAATAAAAATAAAATACTATGTTTGGACTCGCTTGACTAACTTTCTGAAAGTGCTAATTTAAGGAAGTTGGAATAGTGAGTTCTTTTGGAAATTAGTTTTTAAACAAAAATTAAACTAATTTCTTCACAAAACTCTTCTATATGAAGTAGTAAAAGTTTGAGCAAAAATCCTGTCAAAGATTGTACGTAGAAATTCCATGTTTTGGCGGGCATGGTGTAAACGAGGGTCCACAAGACACGTGAATTTGAAATAAATGCATGTTTTCTTGGAAGAATATATAGCTGGCTTCGGATGTGTTTGGACCTCTCTGCCTAACGTCGTGGCCTAGAGAAAACTGAAATATGGACTCACTGTCATTGAGGACAGCCAAAGTCTACTATTTGCCCAAATCCTGACATGGTTTGAGGCCTTTTATTCCCAAACATGTGGACCATTCACCAAGAAAATTATTGTTTTGTTTGTTTAATTTTCAATCGAAAAACACGTTTTCTATGTTTGTTTTTAATATTTATTTATTTTTTCACCTTTGGGTCCTTCATAGTTGATTGTGCAAGAATAACAAAATCTATGTTTCGTTTAATGGTGCTCGTGTAGTAAGTTAAAATCAAACTCAATCTCGAGAGAATTAATGAACGTAAAAAAAAAAAAAAAAAAAGAAACATGCATTTTTATCGATCGATATACACCAGTGTTAGCGTTTGAGTCATCCGTTTAGTTATTTTTCATTGGGTTCAATTGTCTGGCCATTGTATTTACTCATTCTGTCAAGCGTGGCCATTAAGTGGTACGTCAATCATTGGAATGTTTAATTAATGCTTCATGTTCTAAAAATTTATTTTAGCCCAGGCTGTCTAGAATTTGGAGTGTTTCTTGTTTGTTGGAGTCAAATGTTAAGGCCCTGTTTTGTACTCATTTTTTTCAAAATGTATTTTTCTCTCTCTTCTTTTCAATCACACATTATTTATTAAAATAATATTACACGTAATTCAAAAAAATTTCCTTATTTTTCAGGAACACATTTCCCATTAATTTATTACCCAAAAATGCATTTTTGCATAAAAATATCTCCCTAACACCCTCTTAAATATGAAGATTATTGTAAATTCACATATAGCCCATCCACGTCCACACGGGCCTGTCGTACTTTTGGATGAGAGACATGAGGTACAACTAACGATCATCCTTTTTAGTCATGTCAAGCATCATAAATTGTCAAACGTAACTAGTCACGTCAAAAAGTGTGAATCTTAGGCTAAAAATTTATACTCACCAAAACCCAGAAAGATATCTTTTCTTGAAGGAGAATAAAGGAACGACAATTGTTAAACCCAGTTCAGGGATGCATGTATGTATAATAGATGTCACACTAACCTAAAGATTCCTATAAGTTGTATTGCATACTGTTATTCGTCCTAGAATTTTTGTTGGGCTGCACTTCGACTGCAAACTTTCACGCATTTAACATTCGTTGTGTTTAATACACTTTCGACATCTTATCAAATTCATTATAGATAGTGTCTTCGCGAGCTATCACATTGTTCTATCGAGTCAGTTTACTTACATGGGTTTAGAATTAGTTAACATCAAGCTCTTACATGTTTTGAATAACGTAAGCTCCACAACTAGTTACTCTTCTTCTGCGTGTAATAACTTGATGAAATGCAGAAACTGTTAAAAGGAAAAATAAACACTACACCTACTTATTGATTACTTGTCTCCATTATCGGCCAATGATGAAATGGAATGAGGATTTCGAGGAGTTGTTAGGACACAAATTCAATTTCCTTGACAAAACCTATGACATTACAAAGAACCTATATTATTTTGTCATATAAAATTACAGTATTTTCTTATCTTGTTCCCATTTCTGCGACAAAATTTTTAATCTTAGATTTAATCATTTTAACAATTATTAGACATAATTTCGCAGTGTACAATGTACTCAATTTATTTAGTGTAAGAGAAAATATTGTGTCCATTCTTTCTAATCTCTCTTTTCAATCTTATTATTGTGTGGCCAATGAAATTTTGTTATTAATAATGGGTGACATATCACATGTTTAAATTTTCCTAATGGGGACTAATCAATACTTGTACGATTGACATTTTGGAAGTTCATGAGCACTGGGTAGTTTTCTTGCATTTACAATTAAAAGAATTATTACATCAATATTATTATTGAGTGCATGTATAGTATACTTAGTGATTAATGGGTACTTGATAGTGTATTCTTGAATACATGTTTAGTATGAATAGTGATCAATGCCTACTATGAATGTAGATACTTGTTAGTTTCCACGAAAAAATGGTAAACGAGATAATATATTAAAAAAATAAAATAAAATTATGAGGACATATTTAACATTTTAGAACCTAGAGAAGAAGGAAATAAAAAAATTAAAAAAAAATTGAAAGTTTAGAAAGAAACAATTTACCACCTTTAAAATAGACACTATGCTCCAACTTTTTAAGAAGATGTGTGTGTGTGTGTGTGTGTGGATTTGATCTCCTAAGTATCGATACTTAATTTATACTAAGCACCATGCTTAGGTGGCACAATATAATAGGTGATGTAAAAATAATGGATAGTTTATACTACCCATTACAATAGGTAATGATCTCCTATGCACCTATTGTAATGTGCTTAGCTTATGCTAAGTACCGAATAACGTGACACATTATAATAGGTAATGAAAGATAATGAATCGTTTTAAAACGAATTACACCAACTATTGTAGTGTGTCATCTGAGTATGGTGTTTAGTATAAACTAAGAACCGGTGTGTGCGGGAGTGAATATCATGGGTCTTCTGTGAATGTTAGAAGAAAATAATGGCCAGTTGACAGCCCAATTTTTAAATTAGTCTATCACCAGTATTAAATGAAAAAAAAAGGATAAAAGATAAAAACAAAATGCTCGGCTAGGTCTAGTCAAGCCTTATTTTTTCATTTTCATTTTCAATTTTAAATTTATTTTTGATTTAATTTATTTTCATTTTTGTTGTTCTTTTTTTTTATTTTCCTTTCGTTTTAATCTTAAATCTTATATTTTTTTTTCCAATTTCTTTTCTATTTATTTTTCTTAATTTATTTTCTTTTCATCAATTTTTAATTTTTATTTTCATTTCTTCCTTTTTGTATGCGTTTTTTATTTCCCTTTTTTAATCAAATCTTATAAATATTTTTTCCTAATTTAATTTATTTTCCATAAATTAATTTACATTTTCGTGTTTTTCTTTCTTTTTTAATTTATTCTTGTTCTTAATTTTGTTTTTTTTTTTAATGTGTGATAAAATGAATTTATTTCTTGCATACAACATCATATAATCTAATAGGTTAAATTTTATGATATTACATTTTTTTTCATAATCTCTTGTATATGGCTTTAACGAAGGGATCAGGCCCAACTAGGTTCGATCTGGGCTGGGCCTATTATTAATTTTTTAGGAAATTACATAAAACTAGGTATTTAAACTTTCAAATTCAAAATTAGGGAATTAAATTTACTTATGCAAAAATCAGATATTGTATATAATTAATACATCTAATTCAATTACAACCCTAATCATTTCTCCCATTCTCTCTCTCTCTCTCTCTCTCTCTCTACCCTATCATTCGAATGTCGCCGTCATCAACCTTCCAATTTGTTGATGAAGGGGTCAAATAGAAACCAATGCAATACAAGATAACTTGGTGCCTGTTATCCTTTTTACCTCTTTCCCAATTCTTAGTGTTATACAGAAGAAGAAAACAAGTCGCTTGTAGCCCTTAGCTCAATGAATAAGAAGACTTGAACAAGCCTGAGCTATAACTGGATTAAGAGGAAATTACATAAAACTAGGTATTTAAACTTTCAAATCCAAATTTGGACAGTGTCTTGCGTGGTGACGGTGGTGGCGTATTTTTTGTGGTGGCTAGTGTTTGGGCGGGGTTTGGATGGTTCTTTGTGGTGTGGAGGTTTTGTGGTGGCGACTATGGTGGTTGTTGAATTTGGTGGTGGTGGTGTGATTTTTCGACATGTTTTGAGATGGTGGTGGCGGGGTTGTGGATTCTTTGGTGGGGATGGTGGTTAGGTGTGGTGTAAATGGAGATAAAGGAAATGGTGGTGGTGGTGGTGGTGCATTGTGCAGTGGTGGTGTGATGGTGATTGCAAGAGTCGATGATGCCTCATGTTGGTGAGGTGATGGTTGTTCTGGAGGCGGTGGTACCCAACTATTATTGTGTTGTTATTGTTGATGGTGGTGGTGGTTATTGAGGTGGCGATGACAGTGACGGGTGGGATGTCTGTGACCAACAATTAGGCATCGGTGATCAAATATTTAGCAGATTTGTGACTAAATATTAGGTATCTATAACTAAAAGATAATTTGTGGCCAATAAACTGTAATTTATGTGATCCATAGATAAAATGTGACATGTAATCTAAATGATATATGACTTCGAAATAATTCACAACCTACAAATTTTTTTATTTGTGACCACGAAATAATCTGTAACCAATTAATTTGATGATATGTAACCAGTAAATAAATATGTGACCATTAATTATGTAAATGTGACTTTATTACCTTTATTTAATCAATATCTTTAATTAATTAAATACATAACTTGATTTTTAAATTTTCAAACTATTTATTTTG